CAGCTTGATAATTCAGACAGTGTACTCGCTTATGACCCGAGTACACTAGCTGCTGCAAGTTTCCCTTCGCGCTACTACAATCCGATGGGCGCCAGCCCGGGTTTTACTTCCATCTACAAAGCCAAACACTCTTGACATTGACTTTTCTTTGTTGTGAGCTGCCCTAGCATCCATTTGTGTGCGCTCAGAGCAGATTCGGCGCTGAAAGTAGATAATTTCATACACACAACATTAGACTAAAGTCGGGATTGTTTTAAATACTAATAGCTAAGTTTGGTTGTATCCACATGCTGAATAATTAAGCTGAGCAACCCTCTCAAGCGGCAAAAAGTTAGCAAAAAAGCAGCAGCGCGTCCATTGGTGCATGTTAAAGTTGGCCAGTCGACTAACAGATGATGACCAGATATTGCAGTGGAAAAGTTGCGTAATCTGTGAACTGCTAGTCCTCATATTATCTTCGCAGCATAATCAGATAGAGATAAAGTGAAGATAGAGTCATTTGCGAAACTTCTCTATTGTCACCTACAGACTACTTCGCACGAGGTCCAGACACGATGGTGTTGTGATTGCTTTAAAAACGGAGAAAGTTCTGCATGACATCGCGAAACAAATGAATGGACGATTGAAGCGATTATGACCGATAATGCAGGTTAATGCGGTCGCGCTCGGTATATTCTGGCTCTCTGCCGTTAACGGATCACGTCCATGTATTGTTTGCCCACGATATAAAAAACTCGTTAAAGCAGTGCTAAATGTGGCTTTCTGCGAGTTAACCAAGCAGGCGTCACTCGCAAGTTACACTGAATGCTTCACCTTCAACACGGCTAGTTCGAGCTCTAGCGCTTCATACGCCAGCGTTCGGAATGTTGCTTGTCTTTATTATTCGGTGTGAGACTCATTGGAACAGAATGCAAGGTTCTTTTCAGCTCGTGTGCGAAAGTACGTTTTATCCGTTTTGCATAAAGTACAGTAGTTGCAGCGATTATCCCCGAGTAATAAGCGAGTCTACCTTTTGGTGAAAGCTTCAAAACGCGGAAGCAATAGTTCGTCCGCTCTCAGTGTTTTCTTCATGCACCGACGTGTTGAGACCTCTCTGGTGGACGTTTCCGTATTGATTCGAGACATTGGCTGTGGATGTTTTAGACAATCTCGACAACTTGGAGTTATTTTCACTAGTGGAAAAGCGATGGCAGCGAAGCGAGCAGTCAATAATGTTGCTAGCCCCGTTTGTACTCCCTCTGCATGTTCACGCTGCTGTGGAAATTCAAATAGAATCATCAAGGCTTGGGAGATGGAGAAACTAATAAGCACTCAATTCATTACAGTCAAAGTGGTCTTTAATTATCACCTGGTGTGCTTGGTTTCGGCGTACGAAAACGAATTGACTCGTCCCGATGCTCTTCACGACCTTGTTCTTACCAAACGTATTTGGTACGGGGAAATACCTAGGTGGCTTGTCATCTAGGCACCACTTACCATTTTTCTCGCCTTGTGGTTTCTCGTTGCGGTGGGTTCCGCGATTCCGGTGCCTTTAACAAGTGTCGGGTTTTGGAAACCACCGCTGAGGGTAGCAATCGGAGCACCAAGCCCCACCACCTCTTTTTTCCCGGAAAACCTGTATAAGCCTGGTTTTGACCGGAGGTCGGTTTACCAGCGTCTTGATTGTCCGATAAGTTATTGCTTGATGGCATTTCGATACACGCTTTTTCATGCATCTCTAAGCCAGATGTAGAGTAACAAGTTGTTAAACAATTTGAACACAGATAGGAGCGATACAGCACGTCCTCCGTGACATCCCTGTCTTGAGCAATGCCATCAATGAGAACGTAGCAGTGAAGCGTAA